AAATCGAACATCTTTTTTTTCTCACCTCTTTCTTCTCCCTCACCGCCTTACCGTTAACTCTATTCCGCATCATCCTTATTCTCTTCCCCAAACAACGCAAGAGCAGTTTAGTTTTCTCTCTGAGATCTCACTCACTGAACTGACTACATCAATCTACTTATACCAAATTTTATGTTTTTGTGAGTTGCAACACGATAGTGTGAAGTTGTACCTACTTTTTTGTCTTTTCCATGGAAAAGCACCAATAAAAATGTGAGCATCCACACTGAGGAAGAGGTTCAAGCCCCCAACACATGTTGCTTATGAATGCTCTGCAAATGAAATGGAAAATCTCTTTTAGATATTCGTTCACCTGCACCACTGTTTTATTTATTTTTTATTGAGGCCACAGTAATGCTTATATTGAACAGCAACATTATTTTTTTTATCCTTATAAACTATTGAACTGAAATATCTAGCAATTAAGTCTAGTAATTCTGCACTGAATATAATGTATATCATAAAAATAGTGAGAAGGGTTTTTCTGGGATCTATGAAAAGACAACTATGATAGGTTTTCTCAAGAGAGGAGAGTCCACAGGGTACCATTGTGTTTTTGTTACACTAGCATGTAATGTGATGTGTTAAAACATTGGAATGACATTTGCATGGAAGGTAGAAACCAGACAGTGCATCTCTCAACATTACTGTTAACCTAAAATCTTAGATACGTAGAAATAGAAAATTCATACAATGCCCTTATGAAGATTCTTCTGGTGATGTTTGTAGCTTCCTTCAGCTGAGTTAAAGGACATGTCTTTCACTACTCTATGTGGCTGACACTCATCAGAATGTTCTGTATCTCTAACCTTACAATGTATGGCTCCTGGAGTCCTGCGTGAAAAGGGAAGGACGAATTGCACATCAACTATGGAACATTACTGAGGAAGAAGGGACGAGAATAGGACATGGCTTTTGGTGGTGTGGATCATGGGAGGGAATGAATGAATGAACAAGTATGAGCCACATGATAAGAGAAGGGGCTATAGGGCATAGTTGGATGGAAAAAGAAGGGGGAAAGTTAACTGAGAAGGAAAAAAAGTATTGGGATGTCTTCAGAAGAATGTATCTAATGGTCTATTTGGGAAGGTGAAGAGTTAAATTATTGTGACTAAGAAGGGAACCACGTGCCATTACTGGGGACTGAAAAAGTCATTAGCCATTCATGGAGATGGAGGTTCAATATGAATGGAAAGATATATGTAAGCATAGATGTATAGATGTCGCTTGAAAGGGAGGCAAGCTTAGACATGAGCAGAGTGTGCTGAAAGGGTGGTAGGGTAACAATATTTGGGGATGGGGCAGATATAATTATGGTTTGGAAGAAAAGGAGAGACAGGGATATGAGAGTGGGGGGGTAGGGACATAGCTAGGGACTAGCATTGGCATAGCTAGTCACCGAGTGATGTGGTTGAAGGGTTAAAAATGAGTGTTGGGAAAATGTTTGGGACATTAGGGCAACTTGTTAATGAAAGGTTTTAGAAACACTATTGTAGAGTTTCAAATATTGCCTTGAGACCCACTTGAAATGAGAAACTCTCATGGTACAAGCAATGAATATCTAGGCTACCATAACAAGCACATGACTAACCCTCCCTCTTTGATGGACTTGTTTTGCCTGCATTATGCAGCACAGGGCAGCAGACTTGTGTATGAACGAAACATGTGGTTTGGTAGAATCATTTTATTCAAAGAAAATATTTATTCAGTCCAACAGAATTTGATAATGCAGTGATTCGGCACATCCAAATATCATCCATAAAAACTTATTAGGATGAAGCAAAAGAGCTTGAAAATGAGCCTCTATCACTGTAATGCAGACTATGTACGCAATTTTTCCAATATATATACGTATATATGTATATATTTATTTATTTTTTCCATTGGAAGGCTAATTTTTACACCTTTTTAAAGAAGCTAATTGTGATCAGAATGGAGAATAGAATGGTATTTTACCATTCAAACTCCACATTTGGTAAATTTTCATGATTTTGAACTTTAGGTTACTTTCAAGCAGTCATATTTTATGCATTCAGTCCGGCTGACCCTGCTTTCTCTCTTGCAGTAGACTTGATTCTTCACAGAAAGATTAATAAAGACGTGTAACTCAACATTGAATCAAGAACTGCATCAGGGATGATTGAAAGGTTGAACTTGCTAGACTTGTATCTTTGTATCTTCAGTCTTATTACTGTCATGTTAAATAAATTGCACCTATCCCAAACTCTCTCTCTCTGTTTTCTCTTTCCTTCTCTCCTTCCCCATCTCTTTCTTTCTTTTTTTCATTCTATCTTTCCTTTCTCGTTTCAAACTGAATGCACAAGTCTACAAAGACTCTGTTAACCTACCCCTTAAAGGAGAGCTTAGAAACACCAGAGCAACATTTTATCTCTGGTTGTTACAGTAAGCAGTATTTAAATCTACTTATTTGTGTTTAATGTTTGTGTATGCGCAGACAAAACATCTGACTTTATGGTAAATTTTAGATCAACGTTCTTTCCAAGTTATCAAGTTTAAACTTAGCACAGTGCAACAAAGGCAGAGCAACGTCTTTGACCTTCACTTTTAGTGGGACTGGAGCATTTACAACAGGTTAATGCGCTGAATTCTTGGACTGTTCAGGTTGTAATCTGAGCTTCTCGTGGAGCAGGAAATTAGGGATAAAGGCAGATGCAGCAACTGATTGATGTCTGAATGCTGAGCTTAGAGTGGCCAGTCCCTTTTTCTTTCCCACCTTTGTCAGAGTGTTCTAAGGGATTATACAGGAGGAATTCAAGTAATGTCTGCAGGTGTTCCTGGAGGGCTCCTGCGCTGTATCTGTCTCACTGCCAAAGCCAGCATGGGCAGACTGAATTGCACTGTATCACTGTTTGGGGGGGCATGTTGCAAGACTAGGGTGCTTTCTATTATATTTCTGTATTCTCTGTTTATCAGATCTTTCCTTAAATAATTCTGCCACACCAGACTATTGTATATTCATTTAAGATGGTTGGACGTGCATAATGCCCAATAATGGAGAATAAACATTATAACCTTAGGGGACATGTGCAAGTGCAAACGATTGCACTGAAGTGATTCTGATGGCAAATCATCCATAATAAAGTTAGTGGTTGCAGCAGACAATAGAATACAGAGTGACTTCAACAAATTAGAGCATTCTCCAGTTCTGTGTCAAAGCCATGGAAGACTCATGTACTGACCATCACCAAAATAGGTTAACTAGTACATATATGTCACCAGTCTACTTATTAGCAAGGCAGAAAGATATTCACATGAAATTAACCTTTTTTCATCTAATCTGGCACCTTTGCGATTTATAGTGAGGCCCTTTGATATGAAGGATTTAACCATTCACCCTGGCAAGTGTTACACTGGTATACCTAAGGTGCAAAACTTTGGATATTGAGTTGGTTGGAGTTGACACTCAGGCCAGAAAAAAACAGAGGCAATTTATTGACTATTACAAATAAATCATGGCATTTCCAGAGACCGTTAGATATTACAGAAAGTTTGTTTATTTGTATAACAGGATGGCCAAAACCCTGACCTATGATTAAGGGCCAACAGTTCCAAACTGCGTTAGGAACTTAGTTAATTCGTCTTTGGACTGCGGTGCATCCAATAAACCTTTTTGATTTCTTTCATGGTAAATGCTTGTTTAGCGTTTTTTGTACAGATATTTTTACTCATTGTTCACTTATTGTCACATATAGCCGAGGTGATTAAGGAATGAACTGTGGTATTGCTTTCATGATGCTCTAGCCTAGGTGTAGGTAAACTTTGGCACTTCAGATGTTGTTGACTACATCTCCCATAATGCTCTTGCAGTCTTAATGCTGGCATGGCACCAGGGGAGATGTATTTTCCAACATCTGGAGTGCCGAAGGTTGCCAACCCCTGCTGTAGCCAATGCACCAACCAGAGTAGATCCTGGGCAGGTGCTCAGGTGCTCTGTATATAGAGGTGTATCAGTGGGGTGTGCAGCACTAGGCCTCTCACCCTCATGTCCCACCTTTTCATTAGGCCTGACCAGTTGTGTGGGTACACAAAATTATACTGGGAAGCTGGGCACAAAGATGGTGCTGACAAGCTTTTTGGGGATGAAGCTGGCACTGTAGGTAGTGGGTGACATGTTACCTGGAGAAGTTGGGAGCCAAAAGAGGTGGAGTTGTTTCCACAGAAAATGGGTGTGGTTAAAAGTATTATGCTTGTGAAGGGGAGGAGTAATAAAGCCACCATGAACTGGGGCGCCAAAAAACGTTTGTGCAACCAGGCGTCAGTAGCCCTAGGATCAGCCCTGGCACCAACCATGGTGTCCCTGGATTCCATGTTCACACAGATTTCTCTTTGTTTGGTCTCACTGCCAAATAAACCACTCTATAGATTATATTGGATGCAGACAAACTGGAAACTGGATTACACATCCAAAGAGATAGATTGTTCACTGGTAAGGATGTTTCATCTCTTCATCTACTGCTGGTCACTACCGTGACTTTAGAGAACATCTGAATTTGGCTCATGGGAATGCTAATGGGCTGTCCCAAATAATAGATATACAAGGTTTTGCCAGATCTGCTACTTCAGAAATTGTGGTTGTAAGTATAGTCTTGTGCAAATACCTAGAATGGACAAGACTAAAAAAAAACATGAAGTTGCACCTAGAATAAGCCTGGTAGTATTATCAGCAGTGTCCGGCAATATTACAGCAAAGTATAAGACAATTCCGTTTCACACATGCAGTTGATCACTTGCCTCTGGTGCATCAGGGGCCTCTAATCTAAATACCATCATAAGTACACTTTCAAAATACTATCTAATGGATCAATTAGGTTCTGAAACCCACAACTGTGAAATATGACCCTTTTTGTGCCTATCAAATGCAGTAGAAGCACTAAAAGCCAGTGCATTAAAGCAAAATAAATTCCAGATAAAAGAAAAAGATCACACAGAAAAGACAAACAAAAACTAGAACAGTTTATTGCATCCTCTCAGGAAACAACATTGCAATTCCTACGACAAATCTCGAGACCAATCCTTTCAACAAATACTCCAAGGCATTGTCATACAGTAATGCACATATGAATGTAATGTAATAGAGTAATAAACATTTATACGATAGAACAAGTTGAGACATCAGTGATAGAGCACTGTAATAAACTTGTGTGTGATAGATGAATGTGATATAACATAACAGCTTACACATAACAGTACAACGAACAAACACTTATGTCAAAACAGGATTGTAAGCATATGTATGATATCATATACATGTCTGTTAATGAAATATAAGTTAAAGTACTAAAGTGCGTATGATATAGTGAAATACAATAATATGAAGCATTGGGAATAAAAGCAACCTATGATGAAAACATAAGATATAAGGACTTGAGTGCAAAGGCAGAATTTTACATTTCATAATGTTTCTAAAAACACAAACAACAAAAAGAAAAAAAGGCTCCACTTCAAGACCTTTAAGATGCTTATTAACTTTGTCATCACCATAGGCATTTCCAACTAGAGAGAATCTTCAGGGTTCCAAAGGCTTAACCCTTTCACTGCAGAAAGAGAGGGACAATTGGTATCACTCTGCAGAACAATGCACAGGCTACCCCCTGTGTGTTTGAATGGGTTAAGAATCACAGTTTCACATGAGGAGTTTATGAGCAATAAAAAAAAAAATTACAATAAAAAAAAACAAGTACGATGAAATGTTTTGGAGGAAGCATCACGAGCCATTAATGAAACGACCCCCTGTAGGGAACTGTCCCGGTGACATGGAGGAATAAACTGCCTCATTTAATCCATTGTTTCAATTGCAACGTTGAAAATAAAGCGTGTAATTACTCCCGCAACACTGCGGATCCTTTAAGTACCATCCCAAAAAACATCCGGCGTCTCCTTTGGGATTGGCCTAGACATCACCATGGTTACCGACTGTCCAAAGCTTTATTCATATACTTAATTAAAAAGCCTGTTTTACCAGCTTGTTCCGCTGCTCAGGGTATATGAAGTCTGCCCCTCTGAAAAGAGATTCAGTCTAAGGAAAACTGTTTGGATGAGAAAGAAACACACTATCTGCTATCCTGTTGCCATTAGCACAAACATACCTCTTGGTACACCATGCTATAGTAAAAGGTCATGTGTCAAAGGGAGCCGTGCGTAGGGAAATCAGAAAAACTACTTAAACATGAGCTTGCTGAATTTATATACCTACCTGCCTGCAAGCCTGCAGAAATGTTAGAAGACTACAAGAATTTCAAAAAGCACAGGAGAGAATAAATATTGAGGCTGTGCTAGCTAATTCATTGTGTCTTGAGAAAAAGTGATTTCACCTACAGCAGCAGACATGATTCTTCACAGAAAGATCAATAAAAACATGTTCAATTCAATGTTGAATCAAGAACTGCATCAGGGATGAGTGAAGGGTTCAACTTGCTAGACTTGTATCTTTCTTCAGTCTTATTACTGTGATATGATTGTTAAATATATTATTACTCCTATCCCAACCTATCTCTCTTTCATCTTTAGAGGGCAAAAAACTATTTGGTCATAAGTGAGGGACCAACCTGGACCTTCCCCCTTCATGATGCGGTGGCAGGAGAGCACCTTTATATTAGTTTCAATTTCTAATTAGTCAATTAATATAATTATAATTGTGAATACTTACGGTATAATGATAAGGTAAAATGCAGTATTTTTATCTGCTATTTATTTCAACCACAGTCTGATTTGAGTGAAATTGCTTAATTGTATTTGTTTCTCAATTTAGATTTCAGACAGGATGGGTTCACGTGTTACAAAACATAAAACAACATTTAGGAAATAATGAAATGGTCCTTTTCCAATTTAAAAATGTAAAGCTTTGTTGTTTCGGGTTTTTATCAAAGCTCTTCATGAAACTTTTACATGAATGAACTTGAATTTCTAAACACCTTTAACAACTACGTTAGAATGATGCGTCCCAGTCTGGTCCCAAGTAAATTAGCATCACTCTGTGAATATTCAGCTTTTACTAAGACATGGCATTTCTGCTCTACAATTAGCCTCAGCTTTCCATGCAGATCCTATAAGGAGAGGCTTGTGAATTCTGCGGTTTTGTTACCAAGATTTGCAATACTCAGGTTTTATTAGTTTAATGTACCAATCTATTAAATGTTCATTTATGGGCTGCCTGTTTAGTAAGCTAACAGTGAATTTTATAAGGATAAGTGTATTTTATCCTCTTGCAATTTGAAATCTGCATTGTTAAACAGAGCATGGGGTTTAAGTTGAAGAAAAAAAAATAACAACCCACTATTGACTTGAGGGAACATGAAAGGAGAGCTGACGGAATGTGGGGAGGTATATAAACATCTACAAAAAGTAAAGCTTAAAGCAGGGGTGATAAGGCCGTGTCCGTACAGCAGTCACTGGACTCCCATCTACACCAAGCTTCAGTTTACGAGATGCAGGCCTATTTAAAGTGTCCAATGAAACTTTATTGACCATGAAAACGAAAACACTCTGTAAGCCAAGTGTACTTTTGACTCTGGTCTAAATAATTTCCTAATAATTATTCTTCAGATAACTGGAAGATATCTAATTTCTATACCTTAGTAGAAATGATAAGGGTTGAAGTGTAGAAAAATGAAAGTCTAGCGACAAACAGGATCTACTACAGGGAAAGTCAATCAAAGACCAAACCTCCAACTCTTAAAGGAACACTGTATGGTCAGTAACACAAACATGTATTCCTGACCCTATAGTGTTGAAACCACCATCTAGACCCCTCTGGGCCCCTCTTGCCTCCCTAAATATAGCAAAATATTACTTTTATTCAAGTCTGCAATGGCTGTCTCTGCCCCTGTCTGCCTCTGACCTGCACTGTGACACTGCACTGTGAGCAGCACTGTGCCAGGAAGCACCTCTAATACCCATCTGAGGAGTGGCCAGGGGTATTATCACTAGGCTGTAATGTAAACACTGCATTTTCTCTGAAAAGACAGTGTTTACTGCAAAAAGCCTGAAGGGAATGATTCTACTCACCAGAACATATACAATAAGCTATAGTTGTTCTGGTGACTATAATGTCCCTTTAAGGAGTACTTGTCACCCATGGATATAATGCCTCAAATATAACTTCTTTCACACTCCACTGCCAGGTAGCACAATACCAGTGGGTATGCAATTTGGGAGGTGAGTTTTCAAAAAATACAAAGACCCCACAAATGACAATGCCACATTAACAAGCCATGTTATTGTGATTATTAAACTACTAAACCACCAGCTTGCTGGAGGAAAACTCCAGAATGTCAAAAATGGCTGTAATGATGACATTAGGCTTGTAATCTGTCTGGAAGTGCATATACATAATTAAAAAGTTATATCTGTGATTGGTGAGTACTCTTCAAATTGATTTTATACAAAAGAAACTAGATTCATTAAGACATCTCTATAAGGAGATGCTGATTGATGCAGTGCAGAGTTTTGCCGCACGTGCGCATTAGCCTCCCAATGCTTTCCTATCACTTTTGATGATCTCAGCCAAGGAGGCTGACCAGGGGTGGGGCCAGCACCAGCAAACCCATACGGTGCTGGAATAAAGGTACGTTTTCTACTTATTTAAGGGGGTAAGAAGGGTTCAGGGGGCTAAACAGTGTTTTAACATTTGTATTCCTGACCCTATAGTGTTCCTTTAAGTACCATCTCTCTAGTTAGATGATGTCCACACTCTACTTGAGTTGGATAAAAAATACTTACAATCACCATATAAATGTGTCTTGCATGTGACTATGTTGCATAAATAGGAAAGATACCTTGATCCATTAAACTGTCACTCCCGTTTAACTAAATCAATACAAGTGTGTCCTCTTTCTGAAAAGTTTGGAGATCCTTTCGAAATAGCATATTCAGCACCTTAAAGTACAAAATACACATGGGTAGCAGTAACTATAACTAAAATATTTATAAATGTGATTTTAAATATTTGAAATGAGGCCACAGTTGGTTCCCTCATTATGTAACCTATAAAAAGAACTTTTAAAATGTATATAGCATTCCATTTTTTCTTCCCAGTGCTCATTAAGAATCAGACAATATGCATTTAATTACAGAAATTCCAAATGGAGTTGGCAGCTGTATTAAAATTTGTATGCTGCTTTGAAATTGAAACATAAAGTCAGAAGCACACTAGACACCATAATAGAAAGTCAGTGCTACAATGACAAAATAAGGACATACTAAACATATGTACTATTATAATGTAACATCACTACAACCACAAAATAAGAAGGATATGAACCAGCCAGAGATGGGTCCAGAACCCAAACTTGGGATGAACACGGCTTGATTTTGTGACCGGTTCTAAAAGGACACAAACTACCACCAAGACACAGAAACCTCGACAGATACACATATTTAGGCATGTAGTGACACCGACATTGATTCCCTGCTTTCTGTTTGACAAAACAATTAAATAACTCCCTTTCCTTTGTATGTGGGATCCAGGCATTTTGTTAAATAATTAATATGCAAAGACAGAGTGGCAGTTACTCCTCAGTTAGCCATCAATTCTGGCTTCTTAGGGGGAGTATTTGTCCTGGTGCTCTTCCCTGCACCCACCACTGGAATCAGCACCACGACATGTCTCTTCTGTATAATACAGCTTGTAGGTGTGGGTCCCAGCACAAATGATGAATCGCTTGTATGTATCTCACACTAGATCATTGGTATGTCTCCGCAGATATATTTCTGGATATTTTGAGGCATTTAGAAATAGCTTGTTACATGACATGATTGGCAAATACTAAGTATCACTGAAGCTCCGATGATGCCGAATGACCATAGGCATATGCACGGGGTGTGCCTGGGGCCCTCATGCAGGACCCGCGCAATCTGAGCACCGGCTCTGCTCTAAACCTCCATGGGCCGGTGGGGAGATCAAAGATCTACCTTACCGGCCCACAGCAGCATGGAGGGAGGCAAGAGAGAACCCGGGGAGCTCAAGTTAGCAGCTCTGCCGGGTTCCTCTCACGAGATCTGAGGGTTGCCACGGCAACGTTCAGATCTCGCAAGAGTGAACTCTAGCCCTGGAGGCTAGAGTTCACTCTCCACTGGACCACCAGGGATGTCAACAGCACGGTCCCCCCTCCCTACATAAGGTAAGTAGGGAGGGGGATATTAACTAATCT